TCTGACCTTCAGTTATTATAAACAGCCCATAATGCAGTCATGAGGCAGGAGTCCTCTTTCATGTTATTCCATGATTTGCTTCGGTCCGATGTCCATTTGATATCCATAACATCATCATCAGACTGGCTTGTACTTATCTTAACAGTTGTAGGCTTTATAACTGGGTCTTGCTTGTCCTGTTTAACTTGTGATTTCTGACTAACTTCTCCCTGCTGCGACTTGAAATACTTTAGCAAATTCTCCTGTCTTTTTCACATTTTCACTCCGTGGATACATACCATTACAATGAATGTGCACTTGACCCGGTATGACCTGCGAGGGCTGGTTATGTTGTGACGTAATTAGCCCAACTGCCTGTTTTTATTGTATTTAATCATTCTAATTTTAGTCTAATATGCTGCTTTAAAAGGCTAGTTGTACCAAAAGTATTAGACTTTCAGACTTTGTATATCTTATTCATATATTCAATTTCTTTCATATGTAAATGAGATGCCGGTTCTGTCAGAATGCGTGCTGATCATAATTCGAGACATGCCGGATCCTGATCCAGCTTGTTCCGGCACAAATTAACCACTACTTTTGCTCCAAGACAGAGACATCACATTGCCTGAGTGGACATTCATGTGCTCTCCAACCAATTCATTCAAGAAAAAGAAATTTCATTTTCTAGTTGTCTGTGGCAAGAAGATGGAAGTACATCGGGGACATGAGGATGTGTGGGGAAATGCAATCGGCACAGATCAAAGCCTACAAACATGAAATCAAAGTGAATTTGATTTTTGACCTGCGCGCTTTGTTCTTGGTGCTTTAGCCGCCTTTGCGAGGCACTCGATTATGGTTGTTTGTTTTTCAAATGTGTTACATGTTCCTGGAAACATAATGTAGCTGTATTAATTACTGATTTAATTGGACAATATACAAGTATACTTAGTTAAAAATATCTTAAATGTGCAACATAACTCTGCAGGGACAATATGTCCTCCTAGGAACATTATGTTGTAAACAAAGAAAAAAAGAAACATTTAGATAAAAAAAGATCATAAGTCCCCCTTATTGGCTGTATCTGGGAGCACTGGAATTCTAATAACGTATTTGTTGTTGCTCAACACTTAACACTTAACTTCCTGCGTTTGGGGATTGCTCTGTAATGCTCTGTCTGTTTGCCAATTTTGTTTAGCTTTTCATCTGCACTCATGATACAACTGCGCTGTGATTAAACCGCAGTTTGATTGCAAATGACGATCCAATTTATCAGCATAAAGATGATTTGGGAGCCATCACCAAAAACTTAATTAAGCCCCCCCCCACAAAACCCCACAAAAAAAAAGTATAATCACCCGAAAATCAGAAACAGCTGTTGCACAATCACAATCCACCTGGGTTTATTGGCAAGTCCACCAAGGACAACTAGAATGAAATACAGCCTAATACCATGATAATTAGCAGAAAATAGTAAGACTGGGCATCCTATTTGTGAGAACCACAGAGATGCTAATAAAACATGAAATAAACACCCTTACAAGTCTTGGTGGGGATTGGAAGCTGTCATCTATTCTGCTATTTATAGAAGTCAGATTCATCCAACCTGTGTCATTGCTATGTCTGAAGGTTGTAATTATACTTCTATAGCAGTAATTACACAATCCCACCTTTAGTATGAACATTCAAATGCACTGATATGCTGCTCACACGGTGCCCGCTCTTGTGCACGCAGGCACATATAGGCATGTCAATGAATAACCGATTGCTGTTAATAATTATTAATTGATTATTAATTGAAAATTATGTTAACCTATGAAGCAGGAGACAAGGACGTGTTGAGTAACTGACAGAAAATATAGTGGAGTTTGCTGCAGTAGCTGCTTATGCCACTAGGCTGTTTTGAGTGGAAGTAAATGCTTTTGGACTGAAGGTTGTCACACCAGTATTTGCATGTGTCCCAGCTGAGCGGGTTAAATGAAAACTTAACTCTTCGTCTTCAGTTCCAGAACCAAAGACCACTTCAACTCTGAGTCAGTTACTGTGGTCATTTAACAGTTAGAAAACAAGCATTGTAAAGCATTTCTTAGTGTGCACACACACACACATTAACACACAGTTTTGGGCCTCTCTGTCTCGCTTTCTCTGTTTCTGGTCAACTCCCTTGATTCTTGTGCTTCACTGTTGCCTTCCTCTGATTACTGCCATAGTCACTCCTCCATGCTCCCCAGTCTCGTTGTTCCCCTCCCTGTCTCATCCTATCTCTCCCATCCCTATTCTCCCTTAACCGATTCCCTCTCTTTCTCATTCTCTGTGCCTTCTCTCTCACTCTCCTTATCTTAACCCCACCATCTCCTCCTATGCTCCGATCACACGCAGACACACAGAGTGATGCACCAACAGCATCCCTCACATCGCCAATGAGTACCTTGTTATCATCTTGTCCCCACAGTGGCTTTCTGTCTGACTCCGTCTCAGCTTGGATTCCGTCACTAATGGGACTGCATCACTTTCGACAGCTGCAATTTCTCAGCACTGACAAACAGAGATGTGGTGCAGCTCTGCGAACGCAGCTCAGAGGGATTGTAGACTAATGCCTCGGTCTGATTTACACATTTACAAAGGCCCTTTTAAAATATCAGTCCTCTTTGACACAGACAGGCTGTTGTATAAAAATGCCACATGGCCTGTTTATAGAGCTCATTCGCATGTAGTTTCCTTTTTTCCCTTTTCAATCTTTAGTAAGAATCTTTTCATACAACCCTGGGTCACTGTCTTCTGAAATGTTCTTTTTTTATTTAAAGCAATGTCAGCCACAATCTCAGTTTCAGGTAGACAATACTGTATGTGAAGTATTTATGAGATTTCAGAATGCAGTGACAACAGAGAGTAACCTCTCAGTGTGCTATTCTAGGTTCAGACATCTTAGAAGTTTGTATATGGCTCCTCACGGTCATCAGATCTGCAGAAGACAAGCTAAGTGAAAGCGTCAACAACAGCACATGTTAGCGTTTGCCTGCCTTCTGTCTCTCCCACAGCAAATCATTTCCATTGGGTCCTGCAGGGCAACAACAAAGACTCCCTGAATTTGTATGCCAATCTGTTATTTCTTTTGATTGTGTCCATAACTAAATTTACTAGTTTTATGAGCACTGCTTTCATCTCTCTCTCAAAAGGGGCATTTAACAGCTGACTTGCTTGTGACCCAGGATATGCTTTGAAATCAGACGCACAGATGTGCAGACCACAGACTGCAAAATCAAATGATCCCCACAAGCAAATGTTTCTTCTGTTTTTTTTTTCTTTTCAAATTCATGTTGTTATTAGGCTATGTTGGAGCCACAGTATGCTCTGGTGATACTCTCTTTGTACTTAAGTTATGGGATTTCGGGCTCATTAGTAATCTTATTTCAGTCAGCATCTGCAGAAATATTTTAATTTATAGCTGCCTGAAAGTCTCTTGGAGCAAGAACAGAGCTGGGACATTAAGCATTTCAATAAACAAGTAGATTTTAAATATTTCATGGGCAGAACGATTGATATGAGCTGAAACTATGAAACATTAAAGGCCCTGTGGACATCCACACTATACAGATTCACTAGCTTTCTCAGAGTGCTGCTTGCGTCAGGGCATCTTTAGCTACATTTACATCAGAACACTGGAGAATGACATGCAATGCTGTCATAACGATTAGTGCAATAAAGATTATGGAAAGAGGGGAATTGGCTCAATGGGAATCTGTTGTCTCTTCTAGGCATCCTAATCCTATATCTCACCCTGAAACTCCCTCCTCACCCAGCACTGTTCTTTCTCACTAGGGTGAATGCAGAAGAATAACACTGCATAGTATTTCAAAGGGTGAAACCCACACCCACACACACACACATCCAACAGTGTACGATGCAGCCAAGTGAAAAAGCTAATTCCTCTGCAGGGTTAGGGAGTAGTAGGAGAAAAGTTTATCTTGTGTCCTACCACATCTCTGCTTTTCCACAGAGAAGCAGCACCTGCAAAGTTTGGCTCACTGATAACACTTTACTCTTCAATAGTGTACAAATCCCAAACTTAATTATTATGAGCCAAAATGGAAATTCACTCATTTATGAAGATATTGCAGCATATTTGCCCTTCAGACTTTTTTTTATATGCAATTATATTCATTTTTGTCTTCACCAAAATGTCCCAGATTTGTTTACTTACTGAATATAAGATTGAGAAATGAGAGACAATACAGTAACTATAGAAACAGTAAGATTTTAAAAGTTTTATTTTAAACAACAGGATTTTACTGCATTCATACAGTTGCTCCTGCTAAATTATGGTGGCTGATGTGATCTAATCTGTTTCTTTAGAAGCAAAAAGACAAAGAGTAAGAATCCTTGCGCTACAAATTGGCATGCTTCCTCGTACCAAAATGCAAGGGTCATAGCCTTTTCCAGCATCTGAAATGAGCAAGAGTCAAGGGCCCATGCACAAGATCTCTGGATGTTCGTCACAAATTTTAGGGCCTTGTGTTTTGTAATGAGGTAATATGTCACCCAGTGCAATGTTGTGTTTCACTGATGTGTTAATTGTTTTTGAACAACAATGGTGGTCTATGGCACACACAAATAAGCTGATCCAAGATAGACATAATGACATTAATCATGGGTAGAGGCAAATCATTGTTTACTTTAGTCTCTGTGTGGGGATTGGTGAAGATAAATAAAAATTGACTGAACTTATCCTTTAAAAGAGCATTCTAGTTATTTAGTATTGCACTTCTATAGTTTTGGTGGCTGGTGGGAAACAGATTAAAACAAAAATAGTTAAAGCTGATGTAGCAGAGTTTGTGATATTCTGAAGCTCACTACATCCTTCCTATCTGGTAATTATCACCATCTATGTGAACAGGACATGCTGTAAATGACGAAGCACGCACAAAAACATCCATGAAATCTCAACATTTTATTATCATACTCTCACATTAATGTGACAAGTGTCAGAATCTAAACATATTGCTGCAATTCTCTCTCCAGTTTTATTTAAGGCACTGGTAGAGCTTGTTGATCCTGAGAATATCGATGTCAGACACACCATTCCTCTGGCCGATGGGAACAGACTCGTCAGGGATAGGAGTTATGGTTTCCAGGTCATTCTTTCCAAAAGCAGTCCTACAGATTTCAAAAATAGCAATGAGACCAAAATGTTCAGAAATGTGTTTCCAGACTAAAATTAGCATCACGTTTCTGTTCTACCTTACCTTCCATAGTGCATTACAGATGAGTAATCATATGGAGTGTCGAGATTATTTGTGTTTGCCTTTTCGAAGTCACTGGCATAACCTAGTAAAAACAAAAGACCAGTAAATACCCAACCAAGTAAAAGAAATGAATCTGAATCAATATTAAATGTCTTTGTGAGATTCTTACCTTCTTCGATGTTGGCCCAGTTGATTCTGATATACCCATCGCGGTCGGAGCGACTGTGTTCATGGTAGAAACCCAGTGCGTGCAGCAGCTCATGCTGGATGATGCCATTGGTTACGCAGCCATACCTTTGCAGTGACACAACCTGCTTGTTTCCGGTATAACCCAGTAAAGAAGCACAGCTAATAGTCCAGAGAGTGAAAAATAGAATAGCACATAAAAAGAATATATAATTATTATGGAAACTGAGCTGTAGCTATCAACTACAGATAAAAAAAACTAAAATTTGACCAAATGATGGAAAGAGAGCTGGATTTGAAAAGCACTTCCTGCTCTAGTGAAAAGTAAGATTGATGCTGTAGTTGTAACTCTTGTGCAGGATTATAAGACAATGGGCCCCATGTTAAATGCCCCCTGCCCCCTCCACCTCTCCTTTATATAAGCAAACAAATGACAAGGTTGAATTGTTTAATTTGTAGTAAATTACCATTTTCTTGTTTTTAATCAGATCATGCCTCTTTGTGGTCATTATCCATCTTCCATTTTTACTGGTTTGTAGATGCAATTGTCTTGAGTGTTCCACTATTTACAGCGTGTGCTCTCTCCCTTCAAATACAGGAGTGTTGTAGTTATTTCACTTACCCTGCTTTTGGTTCAATGCTTAAGTACCCATCCTGCTTTGTATGTGGAATGAAGCGAATGCAGGTTCTTGACTGAATACCATGCATGGCAGTTTTGATGTTCTTCGTGTCGGTGTTGTCTACAGTTGTGCATAATAGTACCAAATCAGTAGGTTAGAGACATGTTAACATACACAATCCATTTTGACGTTACATTTAAAAATTAAACCAACCATATTTGTCACTTATCACAAAAGGGATTTCCACATGTCCATTAGCAGACTTTGGCCACAGACAGGAATTTGTGCCATCGAGACATTTCATAGCGTTCCTGGTTTTTGGAATGATCACATCTCCTTCCAGCAGAAAATCAGTAGATGCTGTTTTAAAAAAGCATTTTCATGAAGTCTCAGAACATTAACGTAAGACATTTGTGTTAAAAATAACAACAGCAAAAAAGATTTTTATTGAATATCTGTGCTAATATCATGAGAAGCTAACATTCCGTCTTCGTCCCTGTAATGTCATGAATACTCGCCTTTGTTCATTCTCAGAATAGTGGTGGTAATGTCCTCTGTGTCAGACCTATCTTCTGAGTTCGCTAATGAATGGAAGAACAACAGATATCATACAACCATGACAAACACTGTAAGGTGTGATAGATGTGGTCTGTTGTCTACACTTACCACTGTTGGTTTGAGCCTGTGAAAAGAAATGGGAAAAACCTCTTTACTTCATGTTACAGTACTTAAACAAAAACATAACACACTATAGCGTTTAGTGAGTCATTTCTTACATTGTCATTGTGACCATTACAGAAGCCCAGAAGCAGCAGCAGCAGAAGAGAAACCGTAGTTTTGAGATCCATCTTCATGTGAAGGTGCTGATGCTTCAGATGTTGCTCAGTGAGGATGAAGTGATGAAGCCCAGTCAGGGCCGAGTTTATATGCAGGCTGACAAGGTGTGGATGTGGACACAGATTACCGTTAGGGCTTCAGTGGGCTCTGCCTTAGACACACAGCTGTATGGGTGTACCCTGCCCACCCCGGCAAACTGTTTCCACACAGGGATAATCTCATTCTAGGGGGATTACAGTGACCAGAGGCGGCTGTCGGCTCACTGAGCAGCAGATTTCAGATGGCCTTTTTAACTAGCAGGGAGTCTACACATGAGATGTGGGCCTGTCCCAAAGTTTGATCCCAAAAATAACAGACACACCTTTTGAAACAAAGAATTCCATGCTCTCATTTAATATGTGCAGCCACTGCGGTGAAGTAGTAGATTCTAAACCTTTTTCTAGCTCAATAACAGCTTGATCACTAGCAATTCCAGTGCTACAGACAATTTCAGTGTACTGTATGTCTTAACAAAACCTCTGGACAGCCACTGTGGCCTTTACAACCCCTGAGAATCACAATCCGTTTACACCTATTGTTGTACATCTCCATCTAAAATGTGTTGCTCTAAATAATAACTATGGCTCAATTAGTGACTGACTGTAAAGCTCCACTGCTAAAACAGTGATGAACTCGGAGGTAAATACCGGGCCATGGCCGACAGACTGTGATAAACAACAACAGGCTTCTAAAAACTCAAAATCCAGATACAAGTTGTTTAGAGAGATGAGTATATGCAGATTTGTTGGGTGCCTGCTAATAAATCATTGGGTTCCAGCAGATTGTTTACAGGAGAAGAGGGGTGTTGTCTGACTTCACAGAGCTGTAAACGGTATTAGAATCTGAATTCACATGTCAAGGCTGGCATCTTCAAATAGAGGTTCCATCATGGCAACCTTTATGTGATGTGGTCCTCTGCTGTACATCACAATAATGTGACATTTATTATTGGGTAACAAAAATTGCACTCTGTGTGTGTGTGTGTGTGTGTGTGTGTGTTACAAAGAGGCAGATTGCAGGTACTATATGTGTGATCTGCCCTTACTGCAAGCCCACAGAAACCATGTGGGTTTGTAAATTTTGCATCATGCATTATGCACATGCACGGCTACATGTACTTTCTTGATGTTTGTGTGCGTGCGCCTGTGAGCTGTCTGTATGCCTGTGCCTGTCCTATTCCAGTGATCCACGTGGGTACACAGGTAATCCAATTTGTGTTTTAGAGTCACAGCACAGCATGAGTAATGCTCACTGATGTATGACCCATCCATTCAGTTGAGTTTTGTTCCTAATGCCTCTTCAACTGCAGGAAAGAGTACATCTTATTGAAGTGGATGTCAGTCTAGTGCTACACAAACAAAAAGGTTTCTTATTTCTTTCCAAACTTTTGCACATTAAGCAGAGAAGTTTCACAAAACTATCAGCTGTCAGAGTAAAAATGTAGCACGGCGTTTTCCCAGTATCATGTTTAGCTTCATTTTTCATACTTTCCCCTTTGTCTTCCTACTGTATAAACTTTACTCTTCTTTATGATGGATTCAGTGGGCTTAAATCTGAACCACTTGGTCATTTTGAACATATTTCAAAATCAGCAGGGAACTGTACTTAGCAGAGGTGGAAGTAAGTCACACAAGTCATTAATACCAAGTCAAAGTCAAGTTGAGTCTTTTACCGTAGTTAGTCAAGCAAGTCTTGAGTCCTCAAATTTGCGACTCTGACTCGAGTCGAGTTGTGACTCAAGTCCTCCACCTCTGTCATTTAGATTGTCCTTTGTCTGTAATTCATATACCATTCAGATTTTAAAGTCTGCACTGCTCACATGTTTGTGAAACACAACACTGTACACTGTAAATGTTTGCAGGGTGGCTGTGGCTCAGGTGATAGAGCAAGTTGTCTCCTGCTTGGGGGGTTGGCCGTTCGATTAACAGCTTCTCCAGGCAAAATGTTCTTGAGCAAGACACTGAACCCCAAGTTGCTCCCGTTGATATCGTGAGTGAGCGTGTGTTTGGGAGTGTGGATGGGTGAATGAGAATAGTGTGAAAGTGCTTTGAGTGCGCTGCAGTGCATAGATAAGTATACAGGTATAAGACCTGTGAGAGGTGTAACAAACACTGTAGGTCTGTTTAATATGCAGTACAGCTGTCACACATCTTAATATTGCAAGCCTGGGTTTTCTGAAGGTAGAAAACAAAACAATAAAAGATGGTGCTGCCATACTGCAACCATGGTGACTTACAGTAATAAAAGATTTTTCATCAGTGAACAGGCAGTAATATACTGTGGCACTGTGCTGACGTGTCACTTTAAGAGCTGTCACAATTTGTAGGTTTATAAGATGGGGATGGTGGGAGACCTTAAAAATAACATAATATGAGGACGACAGTGTTTGACATTTTGTTACCTACTGGCCACAAAAATTACTTTTCAGGCTGTATTATAAATAGGATTTTACATACACACAAAATATATACATATTATTATTACCATACACACTTATTGGCATAAAGCTGGATGTATTACAGGATTTTTTGAAAGTTAATCAGCAGCTAATTTGACAAATGAAGAAAGTGCCAAGCAAGTGTTGGTTCCAGTTTCTACAATGTGCCTGTTTTTCTGCTTTTATTTGTATCATGATAGTAAAATGATAAAGGTTCATCAATTCATTGACTGGCCAATCAACAGAACATCAGGTGGCAACTGTTTTCATAATCAACTGGCAATAATTGATTATTTAAGATGTTTTTCAAGCAAAAACGCCAAAATGATTTTCTAGTTTCAGCTTCTTCATTGTGAGTGTTTGCTGCTTTTCGATATGTTTTACTTTTGGCCTGTTACTCAGATATAAAAAGACATCTGAAAACATTGTTTTGGGCTCTAGAAAAATAATGCAACCTTTTCTTGACATTTTGGCAAATGATTAATCAAAATGACTGACTTGCAGATTAATTGATAATAATAAGTATAATCAGCAGTTCCAGCTCTACACAAGTTTAGAATCTGCTTTATTTGCCAAGTATGTTGAACACACATGTTAAATATATATTACACATTTCAGGGTGACTTTTAACAGTGTTGGTACAGTAGGTGGATTCGCTAGGTGGGAGGTAGTGAAGCAGATGGGAGGATTTGGCACACTGATCCTGAACCACAAACAACAGTGATGGCATACCCTATTAGCCCTCCACTGTGCTAGAGTACATCTCAGTCTTTTTCTCTGACACTACGTGGGCAGCCAAGGACAACAGTCAATGAGCAATATCAATTTACGTAATGGACTATTAAACAACGTGCTTAACATTTACAATCGCTGCACTGGTGTTCGGTGGGAGTATGTGCCAGGAAGTCTGCTGCCATGCTAACCGCCCTGTGGAATGAAACACATTAGCCTGCTCTGCTGCCTCTTACACACTCCAGCTCCTCCTCCTCCTCCTGTTGGTTGTCTGACCTGACACAGATGCCCTATTTACTCCCCCTCTGTTTTGCTCTCCATATGACTGCATGTCAAAATAACAATTAACATTTCTGTGCACTGCATTCATGTTGGCATCCCCTTTAATCAAATTTATAATTCATTTTTATATGTTGTTGTTCAAATAAATCGGATATCTCTTCTATTATTTTCTCACTGTCTGACTAATTTGTCCTCTAGCTGAACATCTTTAGGTAACACGTTTCTTTTTTATAGTGTTAGTGACTCACAGAAATCGATTTATTTGTTTTTTTCTCAAACTGAATCTTTGACTTTCTAAAAGTAGCCCTCCATCTGTTTCCCTCTGTCTCTTTGTTCTCTCTCTCATTGTTCTTTATACCGGAGTCAGTCTGAGAAGCTAAACATCCTGTTCTAACTAATTGGCATTCAGAGAAAAAGGAACAAATATATTAAGTAGAAACACCATCATAATTGGTGTGAATTACCCGACTTGTAAGAGCCATGTGAATAGTAAATGAAATCAGATGTATTGCAGTAATATGATTGATTAAGCCACGATTCAGTTACATAGTCCTTTCAGGGAATGAGTGTTTTTGATAGATGAGGTGTCAAGTGCTTTATGAGGTGGGTTTGAAAATGATACTGAAAAGGTTTTTGTGCTGAGAGAACTGTCCCTGAGAGTAAAAGAAGATGGTGACAGTGAGATAACTTTTTTTGGTTGTATGTCAGTAAAGATTCTGTATTATAAATAAAAAAACACAAAGATCCATGATATCTCAACATTTTATTATCATACTTTCATATTCATATGACAAGCATCAGAATCAAAACATACTGCAGTAATCCTCTATCCATTTTATTTTTGCTCTGGTAGAGCTTGTTGATCCTGAGAATATTGATGTCAGACGCCTTTCGTCTGGCCGATGGGAAGAGACGTGTCAGGGATAGGATTTATGGATTCCAGTCCGTTCTTTCCAAAAGCACTTCTACAGATCAAAATAGTGGTAATTAGACAAAAAAGAAATGTTCATGCATTTGTTTCCAGACTAGGATTTGCATCAGGTTTCTGTTCTACCTTACCTTCCATAGTGCATTATAGATGAGTAATCATATGGAGTGTCGAGATTATCTGTGTCTGCCTTTTACTGTCACTGACATAACCTAATAAAAACAGAAGACCAGTAAATACCCAACTGAGTAAAAGAAATGAATCTGAATCAATATTAAATGTCTTTGTGAGATTCTTACCTTCTTCGATGTTGGCCCACGTGATTCTGCTATATCCAACACAGTCGCTCTGACTGCGTTCATGGTAGAAACTCAGCGCAAATATTGAACCAACCATAATTGTCACTTAACACTAAAGGGATTTCCATATATTTGTTAGACTGGCCACAGAAAGGAATTTGTTCCTGGTTTTTGGAACCACATCCATCTATCAACAAAAGAAAATATTTATTTGCATGAAGTTTCAGAGCATTTGTGTAACAAAAGTAAAACAAAACAATCACAAACAAAAAACCTTCACTTTTTTATTGAATA